AGATACAACAGTACAAGTAAGAGTTTTGAAACAATTATAGTATCCTACTCGGTAAAACAGTGTACAGTGTGGTAAAATCTTGTGCATGCGGGTTATCAATCACATGTGATTGTTATGATAACTGGCATGTTTAACTTGTATCCCCCCCTATAAAACATGTAAAAACATTTAAAAGGTTCATTCAGGGGTATGAACTCACCTGGTGTAAGTAGGTCCAACGGAGGTGCCGGTTGGGTGTTCGGTGTCACGTAAAAACTCGAACACACTCAATGACCTATTTAACATATGATAACATATGTTCACATACAATTAGTATATTTAATACTAATTAAACACTTACACGCACTCAAAGGAGCAGAAAACACTTTGGTTAAGTGTTTGGGGTGTCCCGAGTAGCATCTAAAGGTGTGTATGGCTTAGGAATGGAGTTTACTCTCCGAGAGTAAACTCCCAAAGCTTAGTTTACGGCCCAGGGACATCTCACCATGAGTTTACGGCCGTAAACTCATGGTGAGGGGTTCTAGTGTGTTTTAAGGCTTCTAACTTGTTCATGGAATTATTCTAGGTCCAAATCCAAAAGGCATGAGTGAGTTTAAGGTCTTTAAGGGCACCATCATGGAGTTTACGGCCCATCAACCACCCCTAAGGGAGTTCACGGCCGTGAACTCCTATATCATGGGTTTAATGAAGTTTTAAGCCCTTAATTCACTCCTAGCATTTTATGGTAATAGTCTAAGGCCATTAGGGAGACAAAACTCAATGTTTTGACATGTTTAAGGGTGTTTACGGCCTTGACACATGTCTGGGCCGTAAACTCCTTTTTTCCCGTCATTTTATTGTGTTTAATTGATCTAGACTCGAAATAGCAAGCCCCTAATTTATGTATTAATCCTAAGGGTGGTTTGGGAGTGTTTTGGGGCATTTTGACAAGGTTTAGAGGTGTTTATGGCCTAAGCATGTGCTTGGGCCGTAAACTCTCCTTTATGCCCTAAAATCCTATGTTTTGATGATTAAACACTCCTAAACAAATTCCTTAATTGGTTCCTACGCTCAATGGGACAAGTTCGGGTCATTTTGGCCACATTTAAAGGTTTATGGCCCTAGAGTGTTCCTGGGCCGTAAACTCCTCTTTGACAGCTTATAGGGTCGAATTTTCGGGTATAATCACAAGTCATAATGTTTAGAACAAGCTAGGGTAAGTGGACTTACGATTTGGAAGCGTTTGGTTGCGGATTCGGGTAAAAAACGAGTCTAGAGAGAGAGTATAGAGAGAGAGGGTGGAAAAGGCTCAAATGGAGTTTAATCCCCCTTATATATGGGTGGAAGTTGGAGCTCAGTGATATTCTACCCAATACTACCGTTATACGGGGCTTTTGGTCGTACCCGATTTAGTGGTCGTAATGATAAAAACTAACTTTTCCAACTAAATGGAAATGTGTATTATGAGTTTTTATTTCCTTTTATCACGACTTAACAACATATTAAATATAAACAAATGAAATGTTTATTTAATTGACGAGCTCTAATTAATGGAACTTTTATAAACTGGAATATTCCGTTAACGGTAACGGGGTAATGTAACGAAATAACTTTGGGTTGTCACACGATTCGACTCCAATAATCCATTATAATTGATATCCCATATGTGAACAACAAAGGTACATCAGTCAAATGATATTCATGTTCGACTTCACCGTTCTTGATTTCAAATCAATTGAACTACCAAATGTCCACAAAATCGAAACCTTCATCTATCAATTCGAATCCAATACTAGTGAAAATAGATTTTGATTTTGACTATCGATTTCGAATAGATACACAATACACATTCTGCTTGCAAATTGTGAGATCTAAAATTGAGTTTTGATTTCAAATCACCAGTTCCAAAACGTCGACTTGACAACCAATCTAATTTTGCCTTTCAACCGCTTCATTCTTCCAATTTCGAACTTAGAGAATACAACGTGGGCTAAAAAAAATGAACATGTTCGAATTGGGCTCAAACCCACATGCCACCTCCTTATTCTCATCCCATGATTTCTCGAGCCCGTGCTAGTATTTCCAAACCCACTCAGCGCCTTAATCTTCACATCACCACCAAATTACTCATGCCTAAATCTCACCTTCAAGCTCTTCAAGACCCGAATTAGACCATTGCCGTTAAGGATGAATTTAATGATCTTATTGCTAACAGTATGTGGGTGCTTTTCAAGCATCCTTCCATGGAAAATATAGCTTTTTCTATGTAATAAATATCGTAAGAAATATAAGGCATACATATCTCTTGAGCGATATAAGGCACGTTTGGTTGCAAATGGAAAACATCAACGGTCCTTAATTAATTGTGATGACACTTTTAGTTATGTTGTTGAATTGGCCTATATACACACTGTTTTGAGCCAAGTTGTCTCATATAACTGACATATTCATCATCTTAATGTTAACAATGCTTTCCTTCATGACCACTCGAATGAGATAGTTTATATATATTAGCCACCAAGGTTTAAAGATCTAACTCACCCAAATTATATGTTTCGTCCACAGAAGTCTCTTTATGGGTTGAAAAAAAGCCCACAAACCCATCGTTATTGGTTTCAACGTTATGCTTCTTATATCATACATATCGAATTTACATATAGTTGTTTGTGACTCTTTACTATGTATTTTACAGGGCACTAATGTAGTGTGTGTGTGTGTGTGTGTGTATATATATATATATATATGTCATTCTTTTCACCGTCTCATCTATGTCTCTTATTATGCATCACATTATTTCCCTTTCGGCCTCTGAGATTTCCATGAAGGATCTGGGGGATTTATCATATTTTTTTGGGTATTACAGCTACTCGGGATGACAAGGGTATTTTTTCTCAACGCAAATATGTGTTAGAACTACTTGAGAGGTGAACATGTCCAACTGCAAACTCTATCGCACTCTAGCTGTCACTTAGTCCAAACTGTATAACTCTGGCTCTAGTTTCAGATCCTACCATGTATTGCAGCCTGGCAGGTGGACTTCACTATCTTATATTTACCCGTCCAGATTTATCCTATGTTGTGCAACAAATCTGTCTATTCATGCAAACATCTTCACCATAGGGCTTCTAACATCTATTTTATGTATTTCAGATCCACTTTAAGCATATGCTCTTGAGCTCTTGCTCAAACTGTAGGGACGTATTAGTGTATATGTATTTATTGTATTTGTGTTATATTTAGTCTAACCTATTTGTATGTAATTAATAGTTAGTCCATTTGTGTCATGGAGCCTAATGTACTTTATATATATATATATATATATATATATATATATATATATATATATATATATATTGCTTCTTTTAATGGAAATCTAGTTATGGGAAAATCATAATGTTACACATATTTCTATTGAGATAAAAACATGTCGTAGTGATTTCCTATAACAATAATTCCAAGAAAATGATTCATGTCCCCAAGATGGAGAACTTGTTGCCGGGTGTGGCTAGAATCTTTTGTAAAAAATCGGAAGATGAAGCAGTCAAAATATTGTCATTGATGTAAAATAAAAGATACTCTGTTATATGGTCCCTAATTACAGATAAAAATGGAAGAGGCGCACCGACTGTGTACAAAGATGATATGTGAGACAAACTAAGCAAAACCAAATCATGTTCAAGGTAGCCCGATTTAGGTTGTACTTAGACCGTTGAAGTAGCTAGACATGATGCAGTAATATATTGTCGCGAAAACCCGATTGTTGTTGTATGGACCCCTCTTCGCCTGTTAACTCTCCTTTCAATGTAGGCCTGACAATTGTGTCGTGTTCGGGTTGGCGGGTTGGCGGGTCAAAATATGCCAACCAAAACACGACCCATTTAAATATACAGGTTACGGGTTGGCGGGTTTGGAACATAAACCCATATATGACCCGCAAACCCATTTATTTATACGAGTTCACAGGTTGGCGGGTTCGTGGGTCAGATTTGGGTTCGTGGGTCCAAATTTTAGACATTTAAGTCTTAAACATCCAAATGAAAATTAAAAACATTTATAGAAACATGTTACAGACTTAGCCTTAGAGGTTACGACTTACGACCTTAGACCATCCACCACGAGTCAAAATGTCAAAATAGTCAAATGGTCTATGAATCAATTGTATATATTATATAATACTTATTAAATATTAATACTTGATATATAAATACATTTAAAAATAAAATAATTTTTTTTATTTAGTATATAAACGGGTTGACGGGTCAACCCGTTTATTTTTTGAGAAACCCATATATGACTCGTTTAATAAACGGGTTGGCGGGTTGAAAAACTCAACCCAAACCCATTTATTTCGTGTCGTGTTGCGGATCGTATCGAGAATTATCAGCCCTATTTCAATGTATCAACTCATCAGTGGCTCGATTGTAATGAGGATGAGAAGCTCGATTGTAATGAGGATTCGAAACAATGGTTTAGAAGAAGAAGAAGAAAGTGATGTCTAATTCAGTAAAAATGTGCATCATCAACATCAAACCTTCTACTACATGTAGTCATGATGTTTTTTGAACGCTTTAACAAGTTTAATGGTATAATTTGCAAAAAATAATGATACTTTTTGATCAAAATAGAAATTTTATTACTCTCCTAAATCATTTTTTTTTCCTAAAAACTCCTAAAATGAACCGTCAATTTAATTTTAAATTCTTGTTAAACTAAGATGTAACCTAGCACAGTAGGGGTATAGTACACCACTCCAACCTCAAAAATCCCCACACGGCGAGGGTGGTCACTTGAGAAAACCAATGTATCTTTCTCCTCGTTCAAGCCATTGCTTCATTTCAAATGGATCCATGTTTAAATCTAAAGTGGATCCATATGTGAAAATTTTGAAAAGAAGTTATAGGTTAAAGGTTTAAAGCATTTAAGATGAATCCATGACATATTTCTATTTATTTATGTATTATGTTGTAAAGATAATAAGAAAAAAAAAATGACAGTAGAGCTGCAGGGAAAAAACAAGAAGTATGTTCAATATACCTTATGGTCTAAACTGTGTCAAGTACCAAAAAGGAAAACACGAAAATAAAAATGCGGTGAAGGTGGATCGAACACCTGACCTTCAGATCTTCAGTCTGACGCTCTCCCAACTGAGCTATCCCCGCTTGATGTTTACATGTAATTCTAATTTTCTATAATTGTTAGTTGGTTTTGTTGCCGATAAGAGGGATAACCACAGTTTGTTGCTCCCCGGCCATCAGCAATCGCCATGGAAGGGACAAACGGACTACCACCATATACACAGCCGTCGTCATTGATCACACCGCCTTGTATTACACAGTGTGCTCCTTCTTTGAAAGAACCCTCCCGGAAACCAACACCTCGGCGCCATGTATAATGAGTTCACTGCAATTTCACTCAGGTGCTGATCCTCACCTCAATGTGGCTCTACTTCTAAACCTTCTTAATGGCAATTTCGTGTTCTCAATTCATGTCGTTAGCGACGAAGACGAAGTTATTTGTGGTGCTCGTGCTTGACAGCGCTGCTAGGGTTCTATTTGGTTGTTCTGCTCCACATTTCTTTGATTTCATCAAGCTTCTTCCTTTTTCCGGTTAGTATCAATCGTAAGAAGAAAATTGCTAATTACCCATACGAAAAAGACGATCAGAACTTTTATTTCATCATTTTCTCCCGTTGCTCTTTTATTCTATGTATTAAAAGTTGCTGAACTAGGTTTAGAAATAAGTAATCCAACAAAGGAAAAATGTTATAAATGGTCCACATTTTTGTTTGTTAACAATCATTCATTTTTCAGACAAGAGAAATTGACATATAACGAATGCTACATTGAGTAGATCTATATAGGAAATCTTGGATATGCTCATCTAGAAAAGCTAAAATCTTTTGTCTTGAATCAATGTTTTTTATTTCTTTTTTTTTTCCTCTTTGAAGATTGCTTCCAAAAAATACAGTTTTTCTTTGAAGTTATGTTTTCATATCTCATTGCTTACCCTGAAAGCTTTTGCATTTGAAGCAAAACAGTTGTCAATCGAATGGTTGTTGAAAACCTTTTTGTCCATTTGGAATTCAAGCATTGTACTTTCAAGATTCAAAATTGTCCAATTTTTTTTCGTTTTGTAACTCCAATCTTACCAGAAATAAGAGAGAGATAACCATCAAACTAAACAAATTTCTTCTTACTTCTTTCATATAACATTCCCAATAAATATTGCTGTCTAATTACAAGTAAAGTTTCCACCTTTTAAGTAAATATGCACACAAACAGCAAATACTTTCAACTGTTACATGTATATTTGTAACAAAATTAAACCTTTTTTTTTTTTTTACAATCGTGCAACCTTACCCTTCCTTAAAGGGTTAAGTTTCTCTGTCATCCACAATTCCAACATTTGTAATGAAGCCCTAGGTTGATCCATAGGAACCATATGTCCAGCATTATGAACCTTAATAAAAGTAAGAGGTCCATGATTCTTTATAATCCCAGCTTCTTTTCCATCAACTAAAAATGAAGCATTCAAAGCTGCAACAAAATCTTTCTGTCCAGACCATGACATGGCATGAACCCATCTCGAGTTCCCTGCAAATCATTCATGTCAGTCAATGACTCAATTCAATAAAATCCGATAATTAATAGTCAACATCTTGAAGTCAACTTACCTAGCCAATTGCAAATAAGATCATATTCTCCAGCATATACAAGCAATTTCACATTCGCTTCTAGAAGTTCTGGAATCCCAACTTCAAGATTTCTCATCCAGTCATTCATCATCGCCTCATACACTCCATCGCTACATGAAACATAATCTATATTTTTTGGTATCCCTAATGCTGTTTTAATCGATGATTGTCCTAGAAAAGTTTCCACTCTTGAGAAGTCATAGCACAAGTTACCCTCGCATTTCTTTCTTATATCGTAATACTGCAAATAGAAAAAGTAAATCATTACAGAATAGAACAATCGATTTCCTACGTTTAGGGAGATTTTGATTCTCTGAGTTCTTACATTTATATTGTTTGTTATCGAAAGTATATCCTCGAAAATTTGTTGGCAAACATATAACGCCGATTGGCATGTATCTGTTCCCGTTGTGCCTGAAATAAACACAATAACATGCGTACACAATTACAATTATATCCTAAATGAACAAAATTCAAGAAACGAACGGGATTAATTACCACATCGTTTGGTTGCTTGTTCACAATTTGGGATTCGTTGGCTTATTTGGTTATAATCTGATTCCGAAATTAAATTATTGGCTAAAGCGTAATCCGTATATGCTTGATACTGGATTCCCGGATCAGTTAACCCATTTCCAATTGCGAATCCCTTCAAGTTTATATGAATTCCTTCTCTGTTCTTGTTTCCTTGGTTTATTCTTGAAGCGAAAGATGGAATGTAATGTCCCGCGTATGATTCTCCCGTGATGTAGAAGTCATTATTGACATAATCGGGATGAGCCATGAAGAAGGCCTGTCAAATCTCAATTGTCAATCCAATTTCCAAAGTTAGATTCAACAACGGAATTGCTGATTCGGGTGTCGCCATGAATAAACAACAGACCTGTAAGAAGTTGTAGAGGTCATTGCTAACACCAGTTTCGTCATGGCGAGTGTCTTCACCACTGGAACTATAACTAAAACCAGTTCCAGTAGGTTGGTCAACATATAACATGTTTGAAACCTGAGTCAAAGTCAAACAAACTAGATGAGTTAGTTGTACAGTACAATTCCTTAAAGCAGTAAAACAGAAAGTTACCTTATCCCAGCCATAATCATTCCAGACAAGAGACATGTTGTTGGTAATTTTAAAAGGACCATTTTCGTAAAACAGAGCCAGTTCACTGCTGCACCCTGGTCCTCCTGTCAGCCATATGACCACAGGGTCAGCTTTGGCTTTTCTTGATTCAAAGAAAAAGTAGAACATCCTGCAAACATTATCTTTAACAATTTTAGTCCCTCTGCAAAACCCATCAATTTCTTGATTTAATTTTGTGGGTCCTGTTCTTTGTAGAAGAAAATTGGGCCAAATGAATGGATCTTGATCTCCAATCAAAAACGGGAAACCCCTCAATTCTTTTTGTATGTAAGGTCCCTGATTTCCAAAACATATGGGCAATAATTGATTGTCCTAAAAGTAGAGAATAAGACTGTAGTGCCCTTGTTTTGGTATCAATTGAATGTGCTTTTTGGACATTTTGACACAACCCACATGTCCTTCAAAATCAAAGATTCCTTACTTTAAAGTCTCTACCAATAGAATAAAAAGACTGTCACCTCTGCACCGAATACCTAAAGAATCCAAAATTTTCCTAACCATAAAGATTTTTTTCCATGGGTAGGTAAATTCCCCAATTAAAAAATCAAAACCCATGAAGAAAAATGATATCTTGGAATTCTTTTCTTAAGAAACGACGACTTATAAAAAAAAAAAAGGAAACCCGCATCTTTTGCATTGAATAAGATGGAAAAAATTTCTTACATTGAACAGAAAGATTAAAGAAAAAATGTGTTAACATATGAATATGATACCTTGCATCTACTGTATGTTGAAGATGATAATATCCTGCGTGGTGAGCGAGGTCATTAACAGTTGCACCAGGTTCACCATGAACATCGAACTTCAATCGTTTCTCAAAAATCTTGGACTCAGAAACTTTAAAATTGTCATCAAAAGAGGTTGTGTGTGTGTTAAAGAAGTTGACTTCAGGATTCGGGTGCAAATTGAGGTCTCTGATCAGTTGGTGGCCGGTTTTTCTCAGAGGGAAAGAAGGTTTGGTGGTTAAAGATAATGAAGAAGTGAAGAGAAGGAAAGAGAGGAAGAGAGAGAGAATTGAAAGAGGAGAAGCCATTGTTTTTGTGTGTGAAGATGGATGAAAGGAGGTTGGTTTTGGTGTGAGCTTTGTGTTGGGGGTATATATATAGTGTTTGATTTTTTGTATTATTTGGAAATCTATTTTTTCACACGTTACACATTAACTGTGTGTTATAAAGAATGGATAGTGAAGGATATATTAAAAGGAAATGTATCTTTGTTATCATATTGCATGCAATGCATCATGTTGTTTCCTCCTTTGTTCTCTCACGATCTTAGAAATTTGTATTTTGTATTCATTTGAGTTTTGACTCTTTTCTTTAATCTTTTTGACCAATTAAAAACTTAACTTTTGACTTTCATATGAACAAATAGTCACATGGGTCGGATATTTTCTGGATCCACTATATATGCTATCATTTATCATTCTAAAGTGGGGTTGAGATCGTTTAGATCCGAAAATCAGAAATTCATCAAGAAATCGAGAACCGAACAGAATATCTTTAATCAGTTTCGGTTTCGATTCAGGTTCGATTCGGTTTAGAAACAGTTTTCTTTTCATTTATTGATTCATTAACGTGTTCCTTACATCTTGATTTAATTTGTCTATTTTGATAAATATTGACTGTTTTCGTTTGAATCACCTGAAAAATCCATCGATTTATAATACCATCAACCACTTAGGGGAGGGGTGTCCTCATTTACCTCCCTCTCATCTACAACTTTTGTTAAATAAAAGATTTAAAACAAATGGAAGCTAATAAAAACAACATAAAAACTAATTAAAATATATGAAACTGTAAATAAATAAAATTTCATTAATAAAAAAATTACAACGAAATAATAATCTGATATTAAAAAAATTACATCTAATTATTAATAAATATGTATATGAAACTAGTAGTCAAGATTAGCTATATAGACATTTGCAATATGCTCCACGTGATCAGATCGTAGGTTGTTGGGAATTTCTTCGCAATACAACTCTCGAAGAGTATGTAGATTTACTTCTAGACCTTCATGAATGGGTGGAAATTCGTTTTTGTGAATAGAACATATTATCCGAATTTTGTCTTTTAAAACAATATTGTGTAATATAATGCATCCGTACATTCCTTTCTAATTTTCCTAGGTTGGATTGCTAGTGAAGGGTTTTGAATTATACGGTTTATACCCCCAAAGACTTTTGATTTTTGAGAACACAAAAATGATTTTTTGATAGAAGATTAGTTGCGACAAATAATAGGTGTAACACCCGTAGATTCGGGCTAATTAATTTAGAGATCATAAACATTAAAATGACTTTTTGATAGAAGATTATTTAGGACAAATAATTTTAACAAAAGTTATAGTATATGTAACAAAGATTCTGTACATATAAAGAACGCTGAAATCCGATTTTGTATGAAGAACTTATGCTTCTTTGAAGTTTCACGATTAAACCAGTACAACTCTACGTATCGTAAAAAAGTCAATTTTTGATAAAAATACTTTTTCAGTCTTAGTGATCTAAATGAAAGTTGTAGTAGTTACCAAAACCGAGAGCCTGCATATAAAACGTCTAAATTTGACTTCATTAGAGGAAATCATGATTTTTCAAAGATCCAGCGTAGCAATATACATCTTAGAAATCGAATTTTAAATCGGTCGATTTTTAGCCGAAATAATTTAAACGAGAATGGAAGATCTCGTTAATAGGAGTTT